AGGGCTCGAAGACAGCTTCGAGCTGACCGAGCCGCCCAGGGGCCCCATGTTTTGGCTATACTCATGCCACTGAATTGTACCCATGAAAAGGGCTAAAATGGTAAATTCTGTTACGTATATTTTGTCACAATAAACAAAAAGATTAGGCACAGCCTTGCACAGCTACATCTCTAGAATAGCACAGGGCATCCTAAGAAGGGCTGGGAGCCTGGGGAATCTGCCCCCTTAGACTTGAGGATGCCCCCTTCAAGAAGCCGACTATCATGAGTTAGAAACAGTCTCAGCAGTGGTGGCTGTGACGAAGATGTTAGAGGCTTTTAATTGCTCCTGAATCAATGTGCTTACTTTTCACCCCTGGGGCGTGTGGGTTTAATTACAATCTTAGGTCACATATGCAAATGAGCCTGCTGTCATCCTTGGTCCCAGTGGACAGCAGCCCTCACTCTGCAGCAAGATTGGAGGGAGGAGGCCGGATGCCCCTGTCCGGGCTGGCCTGCCCTCAGCTGGTGAGTGGGAAGAGGGTAGAGGTATGTCTGGGTCTGGATAAGCTGAGGTGTTCAAGGTGGATCCTGGGGGGTTCTTGGTCCCTGAAGGCACCAGGGATCAGTCATCAATGGCAGAGAAGCCTTGGAGGACCTGAACTCATAGAGCCCTTGGGGATAGAAGGTTTCCATAGAAGAGGAAGGAACTGGGAAGGTAGCAGCCTGCAGAAGGGGCCATGGACCAGGGATGCACACTGAAAGCTGAGGTGAGCCACATAGATACGTAAGGGAAGCAGGTGAATGGGACCCTGCTGCCATCAGAAGTGAATGACTGGGGCACCTGAGTGGCTCAGTTCATTGGGCGATTGAACGAGCGTCTGCCTTCAGCTCAGGTCGTGATTCCAGGGCCCTTGGATTGAGCCCCGGGTCAGGCTCCCTGCTCAGCGGGGGACCTGCTTCTCCCTCTGCCCTCCCCCTGCTTGTGCTCGCTCTCTCTGCCAAATAAATAAAATCTTAAAAAAAAAAAAAAGTGAATGGCCAACTGCTTGCCTTCTACAAATGCAGGCCCAGTGTAGCTAATTTCCCATCCATTAGATCCCAGAAAGTAGAATTTTTACAAGATACCTCCTTTTTAGATTGACAGCTAATTAAAATTTTATTTTTTAAAAAAGATTTTATTCATTCATCCATTCATTTGAGACACAGAGACACAGGCAGAGGGAGAAGCAGGCTCCATGCAGGGAGCCCGACCTGCTACTTGATCCGGGGTCTCTAGGATCAGGCCCTGGGCTGAAGGCGGTGCTAAACTGAGCCACCCGGGCTGCCCTATTTAGAATTTTTAAAAAAACCTTAGATTGCCTGAGTCCAGGGGATAGGGGTGGGGGTGGAAATTGAGAAGGGGCTCAAGGAAGTCTTGGTACCTGGATAAGGTTACTAAACTGCAGGTCAGCTCAGTGGGTGCTCATCCTCTGCCCTGGGTTCCCTGAGCAGCTGACCCCAAACTCTCCCTTTCGGCTTCGTCATGGTTGCAGGTGCTTCATCTGCTCTGAAGGCCCTCCTCCCTTCCTTATGCCCTATACCTCTTCTTAGGTGAGGCTACCTGGCCTGACTGCTTCACTGCAGGGCCGTGTCGACGTGAGCATTGACTGTACTACATGATAACCCTCGGGCCGCCGCTGCTGTTATTGTCAGCCCCATTTTACAGATGGGGATGCAGAGCACAACTGTCTGGTAGAAGGGCTACAGTCTCAGCCTGTCTGGCTCCATCTGGGTTCTTGGCCACGGCACTGGCTGCGTTGCAGCCACTGTTGAGGGGGAGCGGGCCCGGGGTCCCCCTGGATAGGGTGGGGGATTGGGGAGGAGAGCTGACGGACTGGAATTCAGTCAAGGAGCAGGCCTTGGCTACAGGTCCCGCAGCCGGTGCCCACCCTGTGAACGCCATTCCCAGCCTTCAGCCGCCGGCTCCAAGCCCCGGAGGCACTTACTGAACATTTCCGGGGAAGCCTGGAAAGGCTGGCATCCTCACCCCGCCTACTTGGCTGTCCCCCAGCCCCCTAGCCGCACACCGGTGCTCCCCGAGACCAGCCACGCTGCAGGCAGCTGGTAGGCCTCAACACGGGGACCCTCTGGGTCCCACCCAGAGCTTTGACCCAGCCTGGCTGGACAATGGGAGCTTTCCAGGCTCCCCAGGTGTTTCTCCTCTATGGCCGGGTTTGAGAACCAAAACACTTCAACTTTTCCATCGATTTTGTTCTGGTGTCAGAGTTAAAGAAGTTAGAAGACAACCACAGATGAGAAATAGGGGCAGCTTGGGTGGCTCAGCAGTTTAGCACCACCTTCAGCCCAGGGCCTGATCCTAGAGACCCGGGATTGAGTCCCACATCGGTCTCCCTGCATGGAGCCTCCTTCTCCCTCTGCCTGTGTCTCTGCCTCTCTGTGTCTCTCATGAATAAATACAACCTTTAAAAAAGAGAAATACATGTTTTGTGGAAAAGCATTTGTAATATGAAGTTAAAAAAAAGGGGGGGGGAGTGCCTGGTGGCTCAGCCAATTAGCCTTCTGACTCTTGACATCAGCTCAGGTCTTGATCTCAGGGTCATGAGTTTAGGACCCAAGTTGGGCTCCATGCCTAGCATGGAGCTAGGAAATTAAAAAAAAAAAAAAAAAAAAAGGCACGTAAAGCCAAATCCAGAAACTACTACCAAGTGCTAACAAAGCTGCTTAATAAAAAACACTTGAAGTTCCTGTAAACTCATGTGATCCAGAGACAGGTTTCACATCACAGGCCATCATCAGAAGGCCCAGAGGTGGTTTTCTGGAGACAGAATTAACATTGGCTGTCTTGCTTGATTGGGCTCCTTGGGAAAGGCCCTTTGGCCTCCGGTTTTTCCCAGCTTACACATTCCAACCAATCTCATGCACGTGCTTTGTTTTGGCTGGGTCAGAACCTGTCCCAGGGTGGGCATGGCAAGCCCAGCAGCTTTCTTCACAGGTGGTGCAGATGTGAAAGGGACACTTATCCTTTCACCAAAGGGTGGTAAATGCCTTTATCTGCCATTGTTTTAAATCAAAGTTTAGTAAATGACATTAAACCACTTTTGAAAATACTCATGCTAACTTGCTGCTTTCCAGTTGGAATAAACTCTAGGAAGGTTATGAGTCCCGGTTCAAGGATTCCCTTTCCCTCCAGAATCAATTTTCAGATAGAAACCAGTCATCAACACCTAGAAAGAGTGGCTTTGGCTGTAGGAGTCATTACACATTAGGTGGAAATAGGACTTTGTCATGGGTTATTTGGAGATTAGGGACGGTTGCTGAGTTGACAATGGGTGGTGGCCTTGCTTGTGGCCTATTGACCTGATTATAGAGTCGTTAATCAAACACTAAGTATTACTGTGAAGCTATCTTGCAGACCTAACTAAAGCCACTAGTCACATGAGTTTAAACTATCCTGGATCATCTGGATATCTGGGTACCCAGGATACCCTCAAATCAGGTAGAAAGTCCTAAAAGCAGGGGTCTGAGGTTCCCCAAGAAAGTGCACCTGTGAATCAACACTTCACTTGTGCCTGGTCATCTTCCTTTCTGACTGGCTGCCCTTTCTGACTTTGGATTTGCCTAGCCGAGCCCCACAATCTCAGAAGCCAATTCCTTGTGCTAAATCTCATGATACACCTTTTCCTACTTCTGCCTCTTGGGTTAAATCCTGACTGATAAACAGTGAACAAGAACGTCCACAAGGGGGCCTCCTAGTCCCCCAAGTAGGTGTTAAAACACAATTCCAGACTTAAACTACTTGAAAGGAAAATGCTAATAAAACCCTAGACCCTCAAGGGGCACACAGCAACCATAGTAGCTCACCTCTCACTCCTATGGAAACCTATGGCCGTGCACGCGGTGCTCACTGCTCAACAGTGCTCTCTGCAATGCTATTTCACATCTGCACCACACAGTACAGTGGGTATCGATCACTACGTGTAACTTTTGAGTACCTGAACTAAGATTAGTGAAAATGAGGAATGGAATTAAATTGCAGGAATCTAAAGAGGGTTCCAAGAGCCTCTAGATGCCCTAAGTTCCCTTTTAACCATTCTTTCACCTGCTTCCCCCAGAACCTTTGAAGCCACATTCCAGCTTGCCCAGAATGGTTAGCTGCACTCTGGCAGGCTTTCCGGTTTGCAGGACAGGGGGACGACCTAGAAGCTACCACCTCCAGGTCATCTGTGACAGCTCTGCCTTTGTACCTTCTCCCAAATAAGATCCCTGAACCTTAAGTCAGGCTCCACCCCCAAGACAGACCCTACTTCTGCTGAAGGATACAACAACCCCCTTTCTGTCTCACCTGCTTAGCCCAAGGACTTATGAAATGTCCTTAACTCCTCGTCCTCCCCCACCCCCCTTTTTAAAAGATTTTAAGTAACTTCTACACCCAACATGGGGCCCAAATTTACAACCCCAAGATCATGAGTCATGTACTAAGGGGTGTCTGGGTGGCTCAGTGGGTAAGTGTCCAACTCTTGGTTTTGGCTCAGGTCATGATCTCAGGGTCAGGAGATTAAGCCACCCCCCCCCCCCATGCTCAGCAGGGAGTCTGCTGGAGTCTCTCCTCTCCCTGTGCTTCCTGCTTGTGCTCTAAAATAAATAAATCTTGGGGATTCCTGGGTGGCTCAGCGGTTTGGCACCTGCTTTCAGCCCCGGGCGTGGTTCTGGAGACCTGGGATCGAGTCCCATATTGGGCTCCCTGCATGGAGCCTGCTTCTCCCTCTGCCTGTGTCTCTGCCTCTCTCTCGTTTCTGAATAAATAAATAAAATCTTTAAAAAAAATAAAAAACATATAAATAAATAAATCTTAAGAAAAAAAAAGTGTGAAAAGTGTGTGTCCTACTGAGCCAGCCAGGCGCCGCTTGTCCCTTTTGGGGACAACTCTTACAGGCCCAGAGCCCAGTGCAAGACTCACCGAACACTTGCCATGAGGGAAGACTCAGACTACTTTAAACAAACACACACACACAGCATTTCTATGGGTCACTGAGGCCTTTTTATTCTGCACATAAAACCACTGGGGATCTTGCCTGTGGACACCTTGAGATTATTACATAAATAGACCTGGCTCCAGATGCTTGGTGGAAGTGAGGTGAGAAAGCAATGATTTGGACCAATCACATGTTTACAGAGCTAGCGTTCCCAGCAGGGTTCCAGATGGTCAAGTCTGGCTTCTGTAGCAATTCTAAGGAAGCTTTGAGAACATCACAGGGAAGGGAGAGGGCAGCTAACTAGCACAGGGCCCTGCCACTTTGGGCTGGGGGCCTTGAGCTGCCCGGGGGAGCAGAGGTCTAACGAGCCGACTCAGGACCACAGGGTGCGCCACCTGGACCTTACTTGGCAAGGGGGTTTCTGAAGCTTCTGCCGGCGAACTTGGCCTTGCTACCCAGTTCCTCTTCAATTCTTGGGAGGCAGAGGAGAGAGAGGGGGAGGGGGAGGAGGAAAAGAGAAGTCAAACATCTGTCCCCAAGGCCCACATCCCCCACCCAGAGAGCAGGGACCACCCTCCTCTGGATATGGCTGCTCAGAGGCAGCAGGAAGAGAGGGGCATTTGGCTCTTGTGTCCACCCAGCTACCCCAGCAAGTGGGCCACCCATCGCTGCTTCCGCTTCCCAACCTGCCCCGCCCCCAGCATTTCCCAAAGACAAAGTAGAAAAAAGGGCAGAAGTGCTAGTTCTTGGAAGAGAAAGAAAAATGTTTTTAATGAAAGGACAACCCAGTTTCTTTAGAGGTGGCATAAGGACACACACTCGGCGTGGATGTTACAGAATGACCCTGAATCCCCGGCACTCTCGTGGCATGGGGAGAGCAGGTGGTTAAAAAGTAAACAAATGTTTCTCAGAGACCTATACTCAGGTATTTACAGGTGAAATCTTAGAACTGGAATGTGCTTCCAATTCTCCAGTAGAAAAGGAGGAAACATAGTGTATGAAGACAAGCCCCGTGGGAATGCCGACAGCTGCCCTGTGTGGGTCACAGGGCAGATGTCCCACCAGGCACCATTAAAGCAAAGGGTAACCAGGCTGACTCAAGACTGGAAAAAGGAACAAAAAAATAGACAAGTCTCCATGTTCAGGGGCCCCCAAAGACCCATTATGGTAATAAAAAGGGACCAGAACATCCAAAGGCACTGGGTTCCAGTGGGAACCTGCCTGTCCTGTCCCCCTTCTCTGAGGCCCGGTCTCCTCACCCACAAAACACAGTGCTGGACTAGTCAATCACTAAGGCTTCCTGCTGGCTCTAAAAATTCTAGGACCACATTATCCAAAGGGGGACCTGTTCCCTCTTCCACCACAAGATGGCAGCATGGTCCAGCTCTGGGCCCATGCCTCAGGGGATGTAGGTTCTGAGCTGGGGCCGCCCCTAAACCAAGGGCCCCCACCTGCATACCCCCCATAGAACCAGGGCTCCCCCTGGAGGATGGTGCCCACACACTCAGTGAAGGTTGGCTTCCTTTTTACCTGAGGATCTGGTTGTACTTGGCCAAGCGCTCAGATCTGCATGGTGCACCCGTCTTGATCTAGAAGGGAAAAGAAAGGTCACTTGTATTTGTCATGGATGCTCCATCTTCATGGGCATTTTGGGCAGAAAGGAGGGCATCAAGGGGCATCCAGGATCCCATCCTCCCCCTCCTTCTTGGCATGTTGCTGGAGAAGCTGAGGTCCCAGAAGAGTTAAGCAGCTCTTTACCTGCCCAGTGCAGAGTCCCACCACCAGGTCAGCGATGAAGGTATCTTCGGTCTCCCCGGAGCGATGCGACACCATGACGCCCCACCCATTGGACTGGGCCAGCTTGCACCTACAAGGCAGGAAACCACCGGATGGTTGGGATGGTGTGACTCCCATTTCCTGGGCCCTGCAGTCGCTCTGGCCCTCCTGATGCCAGGCCTCAATACCCCCAGTGGGAGACCAGAGGCAGCTCAGGGCCAGGAGCTGCCATCAAGCCCTAAACCCTGGGGACACAGACGTTCACCTTCCTCCCCCCTCGCAGAGCCCTGAGGACCTTCTCAGCCCTCTAGGTTACTTTTTAAAAAGTGGGTTCAGACTCCTTGAGGGGAGAGGCTTATCTCCCCAGACAGTGCCTATGCCCGATGTTTTCCACCAAAGATCAGGTCGTGAGTCTAGAACCAAGACTGGACAGACAGGACTGGGCCACAGCTGCCTAATACCCCAGTCTCCTTGGCGCCACTGCAGATTTCAGAAGCCACTTGCTAGCTTCCATCACAGCTCTAGCCAGGTGCTCTGGCTGACATGCAGTACCTTGTTCTGACAGCTGAGCCCTGAAGGGACTTACGCCTGAAGAGACTCGGTCACAGAGCCAATCTGGTTCACTTTAAGCAGGAGGCAGTTGCACGATTTCTCGCCCACAGCCTTGGAAATCCGCTTTGGGTTGGTCACGGTGAGATCGTCCCCCACCACCTGGATTCCAGCGCTGGCAGTGAACTTCTGCCAAGCTTCCCAGTCATCCTGGTCGAAGGGGTCTTCGATAGACACCACTGGAGAAAGGAGAGCCATGTGTGGTCGGTGAGACCCCTGTGCTGACTGCCACCCGAACCTCCTCACTTGGCCTCACCCCTCTCCTGCAGGACAGGACTGGCTCCCCGTGTCCCCACCGACTCCTGTGACAGGGCACCAATGTCACCTGCAACCCTAGGACCCTACAGACGCTAAGTGGGACACTTCCTGTCCAGGGTGGCTTGAGTTTAGTGCCCATGAGAAGAGAAAAGCTGTGGGTTCAGGAGACTGCGGAGCTGGGCTCGCCCTGGCTCCACTCTGAGCATGTTCTCTAACTCTGTTCCAGCAGGGGCTCAGACTTCCTGGTCTGATTCTTGCTCCGTCACCTGCTAAGCACCCTCGGGCCGATTACTAACCCACTCCGTGCCTCAGTTCCCCTCGTGAAACAGCAGGAACAGTCCCTACCCTGCGTGCGTGAAGTGACACAAAGCCTAGAGGAGCGCCAGCTCACTGAGTCACCCATGGGCAGTCAGCGGGCTTGAGGCTCGCTCTGCTCACGAGCCAGGACAGCCTTTGCTCAGGAGGCTGTGATAGGGACAGAGGGCTCACACACCCTGGAGACCACCTACCACCTGAGGTCAGTGCTGGCTGGCACCCCAGAACCACCTGACTCCACTGCTCCGCCAGTGCCCGCCTGCCCTGCTCACCTGGGTAGTCCCTGATGAAGGACTTGTAGAGGTCAGCCAGCTGGTCAGGCGTGATGTACCTGCTGGGGTCATCAGGGGACTTGAAGTCCAGGTCATACTTCCCAGACCTGAAGAACTCAGAAGCAGCTACGTCCATGCCGATGACCACCTTATCGGTGTAGCCAGCCTTCCCGATGGCATTCTTCAGCAGTTCCAGAGCTGGAAAGAGGTTGGCGACAGGATTGGAAACCAGGCAGGTGGAGAAAAAAGTTCCCTTCAGCAGCTGCCAAATGGGGAGCTCTAACAGAATGACCATGAGGTACCCTGACCCCAATCGTCGCTTTGACGAGTCCAGTACTTCTTTCCGCATTGGAGCAAGAAACTGCTGGAAACGGCCCCCAGCAGACAGCCAAATGGAAAATTCAGTCTCTCCTCTCAGAGGGTTTCTTGCTGACACAATGCTCCCAAATTTAGCAGCCAGGAGTGACTGTGCTGGTTGAGATTGTTACAGTGACCAGCTGAGAGCCACTGTCCTAGGAACCTAGGAGGGCAGCATAAGGGCAAGGCCCGGCCTCTGGGGCCTGTTGTCTCCAGCTCGAGGGTGGCCTCGCACGGCAGAGCTGCCCGGACAGAGGCGGACAGAGGCACTCAGCATCTGCTCCCCACCACAGATCTCCAAGCTATCCCATTAAACCACGTGAAAGGGTCATTTTTTGTAGGTCAAAGTAGCTGAGCCTCAGCATTTCATATGACTGACCCAAAGAGCAGGATGGATGCTTTTTCCTTTACTAGTTGTCCCTGAGACGACAAAATGTGGTTGAACCCTCCTTTCCTTCTAAAACAAAAAGCTCAGCTGTGAGTTCTCTTAAGACTCTCTGTGCCCTACCCAACTCTTACGTTGAACCCTGTGCCTAAGGGCTCCAAGCAACAAGGCACTGTGTGAACAGCCCTGTAGTGAATGAACTCAGGGGGGTTCCTGGTCACGGGCTGGACAGACAACATCTCCGGGACACAGTGCAGACTTCAAACCTTTGCCCTTATGAGGTGGTTCAATAGCAAGAGAGCAAGTAGGGGCACCTGGGTGGCTTAGCTGGTTAAGTGTTTGCCTTCAATTCTGGTCCTGATCTGAGCCTTTAGTTCAGGGTCCTGGGCTCGAGTCCCTCATCTGGTTCCCTGCTCAGTAAGGGGTCTGCTTGTTCCTCTCCCTCTGTCCCTCCCCCGTCCATATTCTTTCTCAAATGAATAAAATCTTAAACAAGCAACCAGGCCACTCAGAAATCAAATTAATAAGCAAATTCCTTATTTTAACAAATAAAGTGCTAGCTTCCCCATCTGTTCCCAGAACTCTGCTTGGTGAACAGAAGGTGGAAGGACCAGAGCTCCCTGCATCACAGTTACGGCACATCCGCTAAGCGTGTGGGCAGTGCCACGGGATGTGGCGACTCCTCCAGAGCCTTTACCTTCTTTGTTCTCCAGGATATTAGGAGCAAATCCACCTTCATCGCCCACATTGGTGGCATCTTTTCCATATTTCTCCTTGATGACATTCTTCAGGTTATGATAAACCTCTGCTCCGATGCGCATGGCCTCCTTGAAGTTTGCTGCACCAACGGGAAGGATCATGAACTCCTGCATGGCCAGCTTGTTGCCAGCATGGGAACCACCGTTGATGACATTGAAAGCCTAGGGAGAGATGGAGAGAAATACAGCCATCTGGCCCAGAGAGCGTCCCCAAGCAGCCTCCTCATGACTGCATGGCTCACAATGTGGCTCTGAAATGCTCACCAGGTATCTCCCGCTAAGAGCAACGGTCACCACCAGGTGTGCTTACTGTCCTGAGGACCAGCTATGACCTCAGCGAACATTCACAACCCAGCAAGTATGGTTTTCATTCCCTCATCAGCAGTAAGGGATGTGGGGTACAGGGGAGGCCAGTCCTCTACTCAGGGTCATTCTTAGCAAGTGGCAGGTGTCTGCACCCGAGACCTCCAGGGCCTGCGTGTGCCCACTGTGCTGGGAGAGTTCCATGTAGGAGACACCAAGATGTGGGAGGTCTTAGGTTCCCACAAAGCAAATACCCACAAGCTCCTCACTTGGAGTTCCAAGCCACTCACCGGAACTGGCAGGATAACTTCAGAATTGCCAGCCAAATCAGCAATGTGGCGGTACAGGGGCACCCCCTTCTCGACAGCCCCCGCCTTGCAGACAGCCAGGGACACTCCCAGAATGGCGTTTGCACCAAATTTAGCTGGAATAGAACAATTCAATTGAGGAATTTCATACTCCCAGCCGGCTTCCTGCTGACCTTCCGGCCTGCACCCCCTGTATACCATGGCCTGTATCTGGAACCTTTCCTCTCCTGACCACGTCTATTCCCCAAATCCGAACCAGAAACCCAACAGCTCTCCACATGAACTCATCTATCTGCTTTCTCCCAAGAGAAAGCCCTTTCTTTGGTCTGTGGAACTCTGGCAAATTCCACAAAATCTGCGTGCTGCTGTCACCTGGTATTGCTCCTGATACTTAGAAACGTGATTTATTCAGGTGAGGAGGAGGGCCCTGAAAAGCTCCCAGACTGACGCGCAGTCCTCAGTGGGGACCGCACAACCACCCCCAGAGGGTCGGAAGGTATTTGGGAGACACCAGCAGCCTCCACCCCGACCACTCACATTTATTCTCTGTCCCGTCCATCTCGATCATCAGTTTGTCAATCTTTTCCTGCTCCACAACGTTCACTTTCTGCGGGGAGAGGAGAGGGTCAGTCACGGGGGGGGGCGGGGGCGGCAGTGTCATACCCCTCACAGGACCTTTGCACTCCTATGACGGAACCCAGATAACTTTGGAACTGTGCAAAGTCCAAATCACTTCTATGTTATGTGTTTGGAAAGCAAAAAAAAAAGAAGCGGGGGTGGGGGGGGGGAATAGAGAGAAAACAGGAGGCACCAAAGCGCACGTCACTTGCTTTCCTGGCAGCAGGCATTTCTCCAAGGACTGGGGCCAGCAGTAAAATATGTCAGACATGGTCCCGGTGGCACCACACGGAAGCCAGAACTGCCTGGCACATGCTGACAAAGGTCACCACAAAATAGTGTGATGTGGGAATGGTACATAGCAGAACTCTGTTCACACAAATGAGCTGGGCTCCTCACAGGTTAAGTGACACCACCACCGCTCGGCTATACCCAGTGATGGCACACTTCCCCATCTCGTGGCAAACAGGACTTCTGCAGGCAGCCCAGAATCACTCAGCAAGATGCTTGATGTCAGCTCTAGATGAGTATTTCTGGTCAGAGTATAAAGCAATAAACTGGTGTCTTAAAGGGGCACCTGACTGACTCAGTCGATAGAGCAGGCAACTCTGGACCTTGGCATTCAGAGTTCAAGCCCCACGTTGGGTAGATTACTCAAAAACAAACAAACCCAAAAAATGGGATGCCTGGGTGGGTCAGTCAGTTAAGCACTTGCCTATTGATCTCAGCTCAGGTCTAGATCTCTGGGTCGTGAGTTTAAGCCCCAAATGGGTACCATGCTGGGCATGGAATCTACTAACAAAAACAAGAACCCCAAATCCACCCCTGCAAAAACTGGTGTCTTAAAAACTAACTCATTTATTGAATGTCAGCATTACTTTAAAAACTTCACAATTGATCATAATGTGTACTACTTATTATGTGCTTTATAAAAGGCAAAGAAAACCATCCCCAATTCCCATCATGCCACATTAATAATTTGACATTTGTTTTGACAAAGCACATTTGGCAGAAGTTAGCCATCATCCAGGAATGATGGCTTGGGGCAAATCCTCACTATGAGTTTGAAGATGGTCTCCCCTAGAGGGGAAGAAAAATGTCCCGGAAGGCCCTGGTCATTATGAGTCACGCCAGGCAAGGGCACCAGGCACAAAGATCAGGGTGTGTGGAGGTACCCAGGAGACTGAGTTTGGGGCGTATGAGCCTGAAGAGCAGCAACGAGAAACCGTCTGGGACCAATTACCGAGTGCCATGAAGGCCGGGCCAAGGTGAGTGAGCCAGGGGGACATATCTCCACCTGCCACTGGTATACAGGACTTCAGGTGGGAAGGCCAGGGTTGGCCTCAGACCCAGAGAAGGCTCCTCTAGCCAGGGCTTTGCACATCTTCCCCGACCTGCACAAATGCCACCCAAATTATGGAGGGAGGGCCCTGGTAGGGAGGGGCTGTTGGGTTGTTTGGCCCCTCCTCCCTACTTCACCCACAGCAGCTCTACTCTTCTACACACTAAGGCTCCAAGTAAGATTTTTAACCACAGTTCCTCTGTTTCAAAAACAGTAGAAATATAGTAAATAATTCCATAGTTCATGAAAAATAGTCACCACAGATACTATGCTCAATGCCCAAGAGCTGCTCTTAAAATTTCGATTTTAACTTCCCAAAGGTCAAGATAGTTGGAGGGGAAAAAAAAAATTAAGGCCATGAGACGGTCTCCCGTCACTGTACTCCCAATTCCATGCGCTGTTAGATGTGGACACGCAGGCAGGGGGTGGATGAGAAAAGGTGAGATAATTCTCATGCACGACAGGGAATCCGACTGGCTACTTTAGCTCTCAGAATAAGCTCTTCTATAACCCGGAAAGCCCACTGGCCTGGGAGACGTTCTGAAGGCATTAATACATTAGTTCTCAGGAGGCAGGTCCTACCTTGCTAATCAGGGCAGGTGCAATAGTTTTATTGATGTGCTCAACAGCCTTTGAGACACCTAGAAGGAACAATCATATCAAATTACCGACATTAACGAAAAACAGGCTTGAGCAGCATTGAGCGAACTACCAATGACGTTAACCCAGATATCTGGAAGCCCACCCAAAGACCGTAAACGGGAAAGCTTTCAAATCCCCATTTCTCTGTGCCCCCAGAATCGGGGTACATTCTGGCCCAGTCTGAGTGCTCTTACCTAGGACCCCCAAGGATTAGAGCCACACACAGAGCAACCATCTCAGAATGTCTGAAGGGGGGTTAATCGGCAAGACCATGCACTGAGAACACCAGCCATAGAAACTACAGGATGTCCAATGTGTTACCTGTGTGCACAAGGCTGGTGCCAGGAACTCATTAATATACTTAACGGGTCTGGAGACACCTGACCAGTAGAGATTGACGGAGAAGGAAAAAAGACACTCAGAAGAGAACAGGCTGTGAAGGACAGGGAGTGAGAGAAAGAGAGGAGACAGGAAGGCAAAGCCCTGCTTCAGACCAGAACGTGCCTGGGCTGCGGACAACAGGAACCCTGGAGCAACTGCCTTTCTGTAGCATCATTGCTGCTTCACCAGCCCAGGGCTTCCCCAGCTCACTTCATCGCTGCCCCTCCCCTGCAATCTCAGATTTTTCCCTAATCACCCTCATCTGAAAATTTAATACCACAGACACATGGTACCTCCATACAGAGACCCTCTGGAGGGCCATATATCATGGGAATATGGTAGGAGATTTCTGCCTCCCCCAAGAACCAATTTCCATCCCTGGGTTGATCCTGGTCCTGCTGAGAATGCATGGTCTAGCCCCACCTGCTTTTCTGTAATTCGGCCACATAGATTCTGTCTATAGAAAGGTGAGCATTGCAAAAACAGGAACAGGTCAGTCTGCACTGAGCCCACCAGAGGCTGGCTTTGCCAGACCAGTGCCTCTGTGACTTCATCAACAGAAAGATCAAGCTACTAGGACTGATCTGTATGTGAGCCAGTGGTTAGACTTTCCAGAACTCTCCTGAGACCACACTCTCAAGAGACTGGGAATGTGGCATGGCTCTACGGTTAGTATTAGTTAACATGTCTTCTTACCCTTAGGTTCCCTGGCCTACTGGGAGGTTTCCAGTTTGGAGACAAACCGCAATAGAAGCAAGCATTAAAACTCTTGCCCACCAACTCTTTTAGGAAGGCTGGAATCCACAGGCCAGCTCTCCCAGCTGTCCTGTATACCTGCTCACCATCAACACTGCACCGGGGTGCCACCCTCAAATACAAGGCACATGGGGAGTGGGCTACAGGCGTGGGAGATGCAGCCACGCTTCACAGACATGGGCTGGGGCTCTGACTCTTACCTTTTCCCATGTAGCGTGTCTTGTCATTATCCCGGAGCTCGAGGGCCTCGTAGATACCAGTGGAGGCACCACTGGGCACAGCAGCTCTGAAGAGACCTGGATGTGGAGGGAGGGGAAAGAGTCACGATTGAGAAACACAGTTCAGCCCCTGCCCGGGTCCTGCCCCCCTCACAGATGGCATCTCTTCAGAAACATGCCACTTCCTTCCACCAACTGGGAGATTCAGACACTCGGCTTCCCCTGCCCCGCATGTTGGTACCATTCTCCCCTGTTGGCACCGCCCAACAGAGAGATGATGCAAGCCACTTTGGAGATTTAAGATTTTCTAGTAGCTATGTTGAAGTTACAAAGTAGAACCAAGGAAAATTAGTATTTTTTTTGAAAATTAATTTAATACCTTATTTATTCAAGTATATCCCAGAGATTATCATTTCAAACATATAACTAAGAAAACATGAGATATAAAGACAATAAAAGTAATAATTTAGTAACACTAGAACACAATGAAGTAGTGCATTATGCAGTCCTGCACACATAGAAACCAGCCACTGTGGAGCACAAACACGGCGATTCTTGGAGGACAGATTCAAGAAGGGTACCGAGTGATCTGGTTACAAAGGCAGGTAGGTTCAGGGCAGCAGGAAGTGAAGGCAGCCTCTAGAAGCTACTTGAAACTGTAAGGGATTTCCCCATCTGACTTAGGCGAAGGCAAATGAACAAAGAGGGAAAAATCCACCAGGTATTATACTCAAATGATGGGTCACCGTGCCTGTGGCATCGCAGGGACCGTGTGCACACAGCAGGACACGTGGTTTCCTGACACAGGCCCTGGCTTTCTGTATCCCCATCAGGCATTGGACGAGGTGAGGAAGCCATGAAAAGAAAGTGACCCTAACGTAACTATGGACTTTGTGTGATGATGTGTTAATGCAGGTTCAGCTGTAACAAATGTCCCAGTCTGGTGGGGAAGGCTGTGCATGTGTGGGAACGTGTATGTACCCATGCGCTCACTCTGTCCCTTCTGCTCAATTTTGCTGTGAACCTAAAACTGCTCTAAGAAGTATAATGAAAAAAAAAAAGAAAGAAAAAAAGAAAAAAAAGAAGTATAATGAAAAAAATAAGTGATGGAAGGTTAACAAACCCATGACTTCCTGCTTTTGAAAGGCACTAAGAGACACACAAGAGAAAGAGTTCCATTCATTTAAATTTCAAAAGATATTAATTTTAACCCTTTTAAAGTGTTTAAAAGGAAACGCTTCCTTCCCAAAAATCTTCTAATATCTTGAGTTTTTTTTCACTGTTGGTTAAAGTCCGCTAATTTCCAAATGGAAAGTTCCAGTCTAAGCATGCCAGTCTCATAAGACTAAAGGGAATTCCCAGCATCCTCTGAGAGCCCAAGGTACAAGGCATGAAGCACATGCTCAAAGAAACCCTGCTATGAGACACTCACCCAGCGGTGCTGAGCACATAGGCCTGCTGGTCAGAGCTGAGTCACAGGCTGTGGAAACTGCAGCCCTTCCCTTCCGCCCGCCCCTCCCCACCCTGCCTTGCCCTGTCCAGGAAGAAAACCTGGAGTCTAGACATCACTGAGCAAAACTTGCCTGTGTTCTGCCCCAGCTGACTTACTGTGTTTTTGTTTCATGTGAGCAAACTCCTCCAAGGGGGACTTAGAGCCAGGTAAGAAACAAGAGCCTCTGGAATGTGCCAATACTCAAATGTAGGAACAGCATCCCCAGTCCTTGGTCTAAGAATGATTTCTAGAAGCAGGAATGAGAATGCTTTGCATATACTGGCACTCTCATCTTTCCTTTCCAAGGAAGAAAGCTCCATTCAACCACACCAGATATGCTTGCTCAGGCAGAGCAAGCTGTGAAGCAAACCAGTGACGGGCCCTTTTAGGGATGAGGTACGATCTTACTTTACCCAACTCTCACTGACCTGGGAGCAAGTTGTTTTAGATACAAGAAGCAGCAAGACAAGGACCCCATGCCTTGTAACCCTCCCCCACCTCCTCCCATTCAGGAACCACAGCCTAGCACACGTGCACATCAGAAGGAAAGGCTTTTACAACAGACCTTTTCTTGCCCAAGACTCTGTTGTTTAAATTTTAAAAAGATGGGAGTGTGGGAGAGGAAGTCCTGAAACAAAGGTGCACCTACCTTTGGAGGTGTAGAGGTCAACCTCAACAGTGGGGTTCCCGCGAGAGTCAAAGATCTCCCTGGCGTGGATCTTGAGAATAGACATGGTGACTTTCTGTGGGGGAAACAGTTCATACTTCCCATAAACCATAATGCAGCCTTGGGTCATTCATTCAAAGAATCGCTTCTGAGGATTCCAGGACTAGAAAGAATTTGCACTGGACAGATACGGGATGCAAGAAGGCTGCCAAGAGTGGGGAAAGCCTGCTGTGCCCAGCTCTGCAGGGCCTCAAACCCCAGTAGTCTGGTGCTGGTCCTTTAAGCAAAGCAAGCCTGGAAATGTGTTGTCTGCACGCAGGATGGTTGAAGCTGAGACAGTCTGAAGCGGGTTACTGTCAATAGCTCCCACCGAGGGTAGCATGGGAATGGACCAAGGAGACTCGAAGGTCAGAAGCTAACCCATCCAGGACAAAAAAAATGCAAGGTGATACAAGGAGAGAAATCTGGCTTGTAGTGAAATAATGAATTCATAGTTGGGGACATAATTCACCAAGTTAAACTTGAGGTAGCCGTAAGATGTTCAGTCGGTGGATACTGGGATACTTAAGAAATTTTGAGGCCAGGAGTGTCCTTGGTCTGTACAATGTGGTCTTTGCTACTACTGCCAACTTCTGGGCCTTTCACATTTCACAGTACTTGGATCTTTAGCAAGACAGGACACACCAAAAATAACATCTAATTAGTATTACTTTCAACAGGCATTTTACCCATTCAAAAAAATTAATTATAGAATGTCATAATTGAAATCAAACTAGGATAAAGATTCTATCCTCAAATGTTAGGATACTCCAAGGGAGGAGGCTTTCCTTAAAAGCATCTTTAAAAAAAAAAAACAAACAAACAGATTTGCAGTTACAAAGAGGAATCACCTTAGTTCTCAAAGAAAGTCTTTTCACCTCCCGGCCCCAGGGGCTTCCAAGAAAGAAAGGACCTTGTAGGACTGAAGGCAGCCCAGTGGAATTGGGTTAGTGTTCAGAGCCATTATCTAGCTGGGCTCCTCTCCAGTATCTTGTCTGGAATGTTCTGAGGCAGCAAATGGCATCTTTTTTTTTTTTTTAATAAGTTTCAAAATTAGACAGTGAAATCACTTCGGGTGCATGGGGACTATTTAACAATGAAGTTTCATTCGTTAGCCAATAAAAAGGTAAAAGAAAGGTATCTAGTTTTTATTCACTATCCTACAAAAAGGCAAATTTGCTTAAATGTATTTTTTAATTACAAGATTTTAGTAACTTTGAGTTTTGGCAAATCATGTACCTGTGTCTGACGGCCACCACCTAAAAAAGTCCCCTTAGGCCCTTTGCAGTCACCCCCCTCCCATCCCCAGGCCACCATAGACTTACATTGTGCATTTAGATGCGCTTTAAGCACATCTTTATCACAATACATCCTCTTGCTGTTGTAAGATGTCCTTTCGTTTAATTTAGTAATATTAATACACAGCGACTTATTTCAAGCTGTGAAATTAAAAGTTCAACTTATCCTTAAATTGGTTAGAAAACTACTCCCGATGTCATTAAGGTTCAGTAAGCAAGGCCACCAAGAAGGGATGGCCTGACCAGGAGTGTTCACAGCTCATCAGCCTGGGCTGAACCTCGGACCAGGGGCAGCACGTGTGGACTGGGCAGTCAGGGCCTAGGGGTGTCCCCGGCCCCAATTCACACACCAGACAGGGAACTTTCTTAAAATATGTCCTTTTAACGTCAGATCGGTGGCCGACTGCCGAGAGCCCGGCCGGGGAGCCGGAGCAGCTCCTGCATTACCTGGGCGAGGTCGCCTGGACCGCTTTCCCAATTACGCAACGGTTCGGCCGCAGACCGCTGAAGGACAAGCGCCCTCTGAAGTTCCATTCATTAGAGGCGGCCCACGCCGTCACCAGCCTCCCGCCTCCCGCCCGCAGGCCGGGGCCCCCAGCGGGGCGCAGGGGCTGCTGGTGGGGGAGGGGATCGCGGCTTCCGGGCATCCCGTCCCTGCCGCTCCCTCCACTTTGGGAAAGGCCTGGCTCTAACGAGCCCCCGGGCTTAGGCCCGCACCTCCCCAAGCCCCTGCAGCGTCCGGCCCGCTGTCCCACAAGGCCCGCGTTCCACTCGCGAGCTCCCGTTAGCCCTGTGAACCCCTAATCTCGCCGAATCAGCTCCTGCCCCTCCGGCGGAGCCCGGCCCGCACGTGCCGACCCGCCCCTCCCACGTCCCCACCCCGGACCCACGCGCAGGGCCCCCAGGCTTGGGTGCCGGCTCGGCAGCCCTTCCTGGATTCCCTACCTGGCCGCCGATAGCGCTGCCCGGGAAAAAAGCAGAGGATGCCGCAGGCACCAAGGACGAGCGTTAAGCTGCGCGGTCCGGACGCTCCGAGGACCCGAAGCTCGTCTCAGCGCCGCCTGCCGCGACTTCCTGCCCAGCTCCCCGAAGCCCCGCCCACTTCCCCGCCCCCAAGCCCGCCCCCGCGGCGCCGCCTCGTCATTGGCCCAGCGCGCCGTCACTCAGGCCTGCGCTTCCCGGGAAGGGGCGGGAGTGTAGCGGCCCCCGCGGCCGGGAGGGGGCAGCGAAGACCCGGGGACGTGGAGCGGGGCGGGACTGGGGGGGTCGCGACTCCCCCCGCGGCTGTGTGGGGGTGCGGGCGAGTCCCTGCCCCGACGCCCTCCATTCTCGCCCCCGGCTGGGACCCCTGGCCGAGCCGGCCTGTGCGCCAGGGCCCCGGGAAGGGGCGGGGTGGCGCAGCCGGCATGAGGGTTTGGGGCTCCGGCACGTACTCCGAGTCCCGCACGCACGCAGCGTCGCTCCGGCGCCTCACGTCCGGCCCACGACCTTGGCGACGACCTTCGCGGCCCGCCCTCCCCGGCCGGCCCCGCCCCGCAGCGTGGGGCCGGAGACCCCGTCGGCCTGGCGACGTTGGCGGCCGCGCGCCTCGGTGCGGCTCGGGGGCCGGGTCTGCCGCGGGGCAGCGGGAACGCGGGGCCGCGTGCCGGGGGCCACGTGCGGCGGCCTGCGCCTGCGCGCTGCGCCCCTGCTCGCCGCGCCCCTGCTCGCCCCCGCCCCGCCCTCCGCGCGCCGGCCGGGCGAGCGAGTCTTTGTGTCTGAGCGTGGGCCAGACAACGGGTATGGGGTTGGGCCCGAGGTGGCAAAAAGGAAGTTTACTTCCGTGCAGTTAGAGCTGGTGCTTTTTGAGCCCTTCCGACGTGCCAGGCACTTCTCCACGTGCGTCCCAGGGTTAACGTTGCATCTGGAAGGCAGACTTCGTGTGCCTCCGTCCCTCCCCCCATCCCTTGAGCCATGCCTACGCTGATTTGGGGCTGGAATTTCCCACAGACCCGAGGCATTTCTCAGAGTTCAAAGCGGGTAGTATTCCACGGTAGTCTGGCAAGGGAGAAACAGGAGAAACGGTGCAGTGATTTCATTCACCTTGCTGGTGGAGAAAACGCCATTTAATGCTAAAATGCATTTTAAACTGCATTTAAAATCAGTTCTGCAGCACATTCTGCTCTCCAAGAAAGGGCTGAGGCGATTACTTCGTTTTCTGTAATCGTTAGATTTGTATTTGTCAGCATTCTCCTTGGTCTGGAAATCCGGAAGCTAAAATGATGTCCTATATCTCCGTATTTTCTGCATTGTTTTGCAGAGAGAGAGGGAGAGAGAGAGAGAGAGAGATTCAAATGTATATTTGAATTTAGTTATTATTTCTCCTGGTCAGCTGCAAAAACCGCTTTTCTTCCTTCACTGCTAACATTTTTATCTCCTGAGCTACTGGCTTAGGTTTCCAAGGCACTTGGTAAAGGGGGTATTTTGTTTCCTCTTGGCCAAGAAGCAAGAACTTTCGGATTATATTAAAGCAACAAGGAAATTGTAAAATGTTTCCTAAAGAATTATGTGAATTTTGCAAGCACAGTTTGTGATTTTGCCAGCCATGCTCTGATGTTTCAGACTGCTTAAAGCCAAGATCCCAGCCCCATGACTCAGCAGCTAAATCAGCTTCTAAGCCTTATAACTCTAAGGAAATCAGACACTTAGAGCTCATGTTCAGAGCAGTTTTAAGGTGTGGCCCTGAAAGTGCTCCAAAACAATCTTTTATTTTACATTAACATGGTCCAAGTGATAAAAGAGGAGTCTCTCTGGCCAGACCCAGTGAATTTAGCAGGAAATCAAATGCAGAACCTGGTCTCAGCTGCTGTTGCAACATTTTTGGAGGCCACAGCATAGCATCCTGAGCCAGCATTTGGACCTCAAATTGTAGCTCAAATGTTAATGATTGGTAGAGATGCCCTCAAATCTTTCCTCATATCCACAGGCTGCCAAATGACCTCCCTGCGCCTGAGTCTTTGTTAGCAGGCCCTGGAGCTCACATTTGCCTGCTGTCCAGTGCAGGGGCATTTATCTTGTTACATGGATTTTAACAGGATGCTTGTGGAGCAATTTTTGCCATGGCATTGCAAAAGCAGTCACCTTCCTGGTGGGCAGGGGTGAGGGGTATGAGTATCCAGTGCTATTATCAGAAGACCACACTGTGAAGCACTGCATATAGCTCTTGAAAGACATTTGCTGATACCAGGGTTGAGGGAAGGTGAATCTGCAGCAGCCTATGACCATCCTGGGTTACTGATTCTGTCTGTGGCACATATATGCACCCTGGATGAAAACTGCCTCAGGGCTGAAAAAGTGAAAAACCTCTTTCAGAAGGCGAGTCTCTAGCCTGATAGGAGACTACCAGCCTAAGACTGGTAAGAGATCAGAGAACAGAGGCCAGCGGGGGCTCTAAGTGAATGGCCTCTCTTTGTAACAAACTGGGAAGGTTTTCTGTTTGTTTGTTTTTTTTTAAGATTTTATTTACTCATGAGGGAGAGAGAGAGAGAGAGAGAGAGGCAGAAGGAGAAGCAGGCTCTCTGAGGAGCAGGGAGCCCGATGCAGTACTCGATCCTAGGAACCTGGGATCACAACCTGAGCCGCAGGCAGATGCTTAACTGACCCCGGCATTCTGAGGCTTTTGTATTTATTACAAAATATTTCATATATGGGCAGCCTCGGTGGCTCAGCGGTTTAGTGCTGCCTTCAGTCCAGAACATGGTTCTGGAGACCCGGGATTGAGTCCCATGTCAGGCACCCTGCATGGAGCCTGCTTCTCCCTCTGCCTGTGTCTCTGCCTCTCTCTCTCTCTCTCTCTCTCTCTCTCTCTCTGTCTCTCATGAATAAATAAATAAAATCTTTTAAAAAATTGCATATACCAAAAACTACATAAAGTGTATCTGATGTAAAGAATAATAATATCTGTGTATCCACCTCCAGCTTAAGACATGGGACATTAGCAGTGCAGTTAACATCCCCATGTAATCTTCTCTGGCCCCACTATCTTACCCATTGTCGGCTATCCTTGTGCTTATCATTTCCTTGGTTCTCTTTATAGTTATTAAATATTTTTTCAAACTTAATATACGCATGGCATGGCATCATACTGCTTATAGCCTTTTGGTACAATTCTTTTTGACTCAACTAAATGCTTGTAAGCACCATCATAAATTCTTCATTTTCAGGGCTGTGTAATATTCCATTATGTGAATATCACACTTTTTAAAATCGATGTACCTTTGGGTGGTTTCCCGGTTATTTTTTTTTACTAGTACCAGTAGTGCTGCTATGAATCCTGTTGCAAATGTCTCTTGAGCACAGGTGCAGGGGTTTCTCTAGGATGCATACCTTGGACATATACCTAGATGTGGGTCCTGGGTGTAAGCATCCTCAACTTTGTTTTCTAAAGTATTTGTACATCCATGCTCTTTCTTTCTTTCTTTCTTTCTTTCTTTCTTTCTTTCTTTCTTTCTTTCTTTTTTTAAGGATTTTATTTATTTAAGAGAGAAAGGGAGAAGCAGACTTTTTGCTGAGCAGGGAGTCTGACTCGGGTCCCAGGACCTAGGGATCATGAGCCAAAGGCAGGCACTTAACCAGTTGAGCTACCCATGTGCCCCACCTCAATTCACTTCCACTGGCAACATATATGAGTTCTAATTTTTTTGTTTTTTATTTATTTATGATAGTCACACACACACAGAGAGAGAGGCAGAGACATAGGCAGAGGGAGAAGCAGGCTCCGTGCCCCGGGAGCCTGATGTGGGATTCGATCCCGGGTCTCCAGGATCGCGCCCTGGGCCAAAGGCAGGCGCCAAACCGCTGCGCCACCCAGGGATCCCCATATATGAGTTCTGACCCAGTATGAAAAGAAAATTCCAGGGGATCCCTGGGTGGCGCAGCGGTTTGGCGCCTGCCTTTGGCCCAGGGCGCGATCCTGGAGACCCGGGATCGAATCCCACATCAGGCTCCCGGGGCACGGAGCCTGCTTCTCCCTCTGCCTATGTCTCTGCCTCTCTCTCTCTCTCTCTCTCTCTCTCTCTCTCTGTGACTATCATAAATAAATTAAAAAATGTTTAAAAAAATAAAAAAATTAAAAAAAAAAGAAAATTCCATTCTTCCTTTGCAATTTTTGCTAGCAATTTGATTCTCAACTTACCACCCTTTTCAGGTCCTTCACTTAAAGAAACCCACATGTCTCTCTCTACCCTTATGGTGGCTGTGAGGGCACATCCTAGGGCTTTCTGCTGTCAACACCCCCCTCCTTGGCTTTCCTCAGAGGTGACTTCACAAAGTCAGCTGGAGGAAGTAGGCATTAGGCAAGACATGGATTTAGGAAGATAGAGCACGGTATGGTTTTTAAACAAAGTCACTGCTAGGAGAGTATTTATCTAGGAGTTCCCAGATGAGAAGAGTAAGAATAAGGGGGACTAAAGTTTAAAGAACCCAGGGAAGTCGGGGCAGCAAGGAGCAGGCACCCGTAAGCAGAGTTCCCCTTGGAGGAGCTCATGAAGGAGAGCAAGTAGGGACTGCAGGCTTGGTGTGATAGAGCTCTGAGTGGATCCTCTGTGCCTCAACTCCTTTATCTTTGAAATAGGTATGATAATATCCACCTCAGGAGGCAGCCTCGAACTGTAACAACCCCAGGTAGCTCTTTATCAGTGCAGGAATCATTTCTCAGAGCTAGGGTGAAGACCTGCAAGCTTCAGCAGCCCGTATCTCTAGGAGAAACTGTGACAGGTCCCTGGGGCACTTTTTGTTTTTCCCCTGGGTTGTCACTGGAAGGCCCAGGCAGCTGTAGCCCTGGTAGCCAAAAAACCCTCTTTGTGTGGCCAGCACAGGCTCCTGCCTGTCAGCCGGGTGGGTGGCATTTCTAGAGGCAAGGAGTTCAGGACCCTCAGATGGCCCCACTGCCAAACTGCTAGTCACTGCAAAGGAAGGAGAGAGGGCAGAGGTTGCAGCATGAGAGTTCCTGATGGAAAGCAGGAGCTGAGTTCTTCCTTCAGAAGGGATTGAGCTTGTGATTCCCTGAGAGTAGGGTTTCTACAGGGCCTTCACGGGGATA